CTATTAGTCCATTATTCAGAGGTTTTACTGTTTAACTATTACTTCGCTACTTCATCACTTTTTTCCCTAGTTTTCCACAACTACTACTAAAACTGCTACCTTATTTTTACTTGAACTACTACTACTACACTACTACTACTACACTACTACTGCTACACTACTACTGCTACATTACTACTGCTACACTACTACTGCTACACTACTACTACCTCCCATTCTGTCATCTTTCTTTGCTTCTTTTCTTGTTCAGTTGTGACAGCTACTACTAACTCTCTCGCTACTAATTCACCATTACTTCTACTGTTACCACCCCAACATTTACTTCTACTACTATTATTACCGCCATTATTCTATACCTTCTACCAACACTACTACCTCTACTCCCATTACCATGATAAGGGTGATACTATCTCTTTTATAGCATAATAATAAGTCTTAAAAGGACCCAATGGAAATAAGTCACTTGTCTGACTTTTTTGGGTTATCCTAGGTTCTCTACATATATGCTGCTATGTATGATAATCTATGTATACCTGAACAAACTTACTTACCATTACCACTCCCTCCCTGGTCTTGCTTCAGTATGACTTGTCAATGGTCCAAGTCAGATCAACCCATACCTTTACCTTTGATATACCTTTGAAGAATTTCGAGAGTAAATCTACTCTCTGAGCTCTGAGCCCGGCCATGGGCCAGGCTCGTCTGGTGCTCGCCTGGTCAACCAGGCTATTGCTGCTGGAGGCCCGCTGCCCCACATATCCATCACAGCCTGGTTGATCTGGCATCTGGTGAAGATACTTGTCTAGTTTCCTCTTGAAGATTTCAACACTTGTTCCAGCAGTGTTTCTGATATCTTCTGGTAAGATGTTGAAAAGTCTGGGACCCCGGATGTTGATAGAGTGTTCTCTTATCGTCCCCACCGCATCCCTGCTCCTCACTGGGTTTATTTTACACTTCCTCCCATATCTCTCACTCCAGTATGTTGTTATGGCAGTGTGCAGATTTGGGACCAAGCCCTCGAGTACCTTCCAGGTATATATTATCATGTACCTCTCTCTCCTCCGCTCCAATGAGTACATGTTCAAGACTTGCAAGCGTTCCCAGTAGTTTAGGTGCTTTACTGGCTCAATGTGAGCCGTAAACGATCTCTGTATTTGTTCCAGCCCCGATATTTCTCCTGCCCTGAACGGGGCTGTCAGCACTGAGCAATATTCTAAGTGAGGGAGCACTAGCGATTTGAAGAGTGTCACCATCGGTATTGTTTCCCTTGTTTTGAAAGTTCTCAATACCCACCCCGTCATCTTCCTGGCTGTCGTGATCTTTGTCTTGTTATGGTCTTTAAAAGAAAGGTCTGCTGACATAATTATTCCTAGGTACCTACTTTTACGTGTTCCTTACGTTCTATTTGGTGACCCTCTTGAGTTTTGTATATGGTGCTCCTTTTGAGTACTTCATTCTTTCCATACCTAAGCAGCTGGAACTTATCACCATTGAACGTCATGTTGTTTTCCACTGCCCACTGGAAAACCCTGTTTATGTCTTCCTGTACTTTTTCAGTGTCCTCTACCGTACTGACTTTCATGCTTATTTTAGTGTCATCTGCAAATGATGATACAAAAGTGTGCCGGGTGTTTTTGTCTATGTCTGCTATGAGGATGAGTAACAGCAGAGGTGCCAGGACAGTGCCTTGGGGCACTGAGCTTTTGACCTCGCTGATGCTGGATCTTGCCCTGTTCACTACTACTTTTTGTGTTCTGTGTGTTAGGAAACCGAAAATCCATCTGCCTCCCTTCCCCGTAATGCCCATGGCCTTCATTTTGTGCGCTATCACTCCATGATCGCATTTGTCAAACGCCTTTGCAAAATCTGTGTAAATCACATCTGCGTTTTTGTCATCTTCCAGTGCCTCCGTTATTCTGTCATAATGGTTCAGCAGCTGTGACAGACATGATCGTCTTGCTATAAAACCATGCTGGTTCAGGTTATGTTGGTTGTGCTGGTCCATGAAATTTGTAACCTGGCGTCTCATCACTCTTTCGAAGATTTTTATGATGTGAGAGGTTAGGGCTACTGGTCTGTAATTTTTAGCTAGTGCTCTACTACCTCCCTTGTGCAAAGGAGCTGTCTGCACTCTTTAAGGCCTCCGGTATTTTACCTAGATCCAAGCTCTTTCTGCAAAGAATACTGAGGGCTCATGCTAGTGGTACTTTACACTTCTTTATAAATAGAGCATTCCATGAATCTGGTCCAGGTGCTGGGTGAGTGGGCATGTTTTCCATTTCTTTTTCGAAATCTATGGGATTTGTACTAATGTCAGTTAGTTGGTATGTGCGGCCTTCTTCTAGAGTGAAAAATATTTCTGCATTTTCTACCTTGCTGTCATTTAGTGGGTTGCTGAACATCGACTCATACTGTTCTTTTAGGATTTCACTCATTTCCTGTTCGTCATCAGTATATGAGTCTCCTCTCAATTCTACAGGTAGTTCTTAGCTTGGATTTTGTGTAGGAATAGAAATATTTTGGGTTCCTTGCAATATCCTGTATGGACCTTTGTTCCCTTTGTACTTCTTCTGTGAGGTATGACATCCTAAGTTTTTGCTCTAATTCAGTGATCTCTCTGCTAAGTCTATCTTTCCTCTGTTGTAGCATATTTGTGTTTTTAAGCAGTTCAGTAACCCGTTTTCTTCTTCTGTACCATCTCCTACGCTCTCTCTCTATATCTAATTTTCCTCTGGGTTTCCTCAATGGTACATGTTTCATACATACTTTGTATGCTTCTGTATTCAGCTTCTCTAGGCACTGGTGGGGATTTAGGGTGCTCATGTCTGATTCCCAGGGTATGTCTGGTAGCTCTTGGTTTATTTTTTCCCAGTTAATTGTATGGTTGTTAAAAGTAAACTTACTGAACATCCTCTCTCTAACTTTAGCGATGCAGTTTCCTACCCCTGAGTTAATACTAGTTTGAACCTCTATGATGTTATGATCAGAGTAAATAGTTTTGGAAACTGTTATGTCTCTGATCAGTTTCTTGTTGTTTGTGAATATCAAATCCAGTGTATTTTCATTTCTAGTGGGATCAATTACCTGTTGGTTTAAAGAGTACTTTTCACAAAACCTCATTATTTCCCTGGTATGTGCCTATTGAGCCAGGGTGCTTCCCGGGGATATTTCTGGTATAACATTACATGTACATCGTGCCATCTTCCATTTTACATGAGGGAGATTAAAATCTCCAAGGAGTAAAATATTTGGTGTAGGGCTTTCTAGCCTATCCAGATAGCTATCTATCTTACTTAACTGATCTGTGAATTCCTCAGCAGTTGCCAATGGTGGTTTGTATACTAAGATAATTACCAAATTCCTATTTTCAACTTTAATGCCTAGAATTTCTACTATGTCATTCATAGAATTCAGCACTTCTGTGCAACATAAAGTATCCTTTACATAGATTCCTACTCCTCCCTGTGACCTATTGATTCTATCACATCTATACATGTTGTAGTTTTCTATCCTTATCTCTCCGTCCAAAACATCCCTTGTATGTGTTTCTGTAAATGCTCCGAACATGGCATTCGCTTCTGTCAGGAGCCCACTGACATAACTAACTTTGTCATTTTTATTTGATTTCAAACCCTGTATATTCGCAAATATGAAGCAGGAATTACCAAGTGGGATGTTTTGTCTCGCTTTGTGTTTCATTAGTACCACTGGTGGTGTACTACCTGGTATGTCCCATGGTGTACACTCCCCTGGTTTCTCCACTACTGGCTTCGCATTTGTTTGCTTATTCAACCTTGAGCCCACCTGTCCTCTCTGTACCATTTCCCTGTTTTTCTCTCCCTTTGTTTTGATTTTTTCTCTTTGTCTAAAAAAGAATGCTATTCAATTTCCCTTTCTCTGCTAACTCTGTAGCACTGCATTCCTTTTACATGATGATCTGGGCAGCTCAGGTCATAACATAAGCATAAGTTATCCCTTCCTAAGTGCAGGTAATGTTAACTGAATAAAAGCATGATTGGTAACATGTGTTGTTGTCTCCATACTTTATCAGCAAAATGTCATTTCTTTCAAATTATTCCCAATTCATTATCAAGATCCTCACCCTTATTTTTCCTTGCCTAATGGAGTTATCAGTTGGGTTGCTAAACACCAGACTCTTTCTCTACATTGGGTATACTACTTAGGTAAAGTCAGTTACACATTCAGGTGGGATGTGACTGTTTTGCTCTCTATGGGATCAAATGGTAGGAGTTTGTCTTTCCTGTGTGGGAAAACTTGTTGCCTTTTCCTTTTATCACCCAGACTGGAGCTATGTTTCCTCTCTGGCACCAGACGATAGGGCTCAATATGACATAAATTGTGGTGATGCTTAACAACCCTAGCATAAACTACACTATTATTCCAAGGTAAACATCAACCAAATTTTCAGTTTTCAGCCGAGATGTTCCCTAAATAATATGTAGCAAATTCTGCAAGTTCAGATAAAACTTTATATTAAAGCACTATAACATGTACTGCAAAATGACAATTCAATTCCGGGATACTCATCTGAAAGCCAAGACCCCCTAAGAGTGCTATTAATACACTGTACAGTACTTTGTATATAAATTTCTTCTTGTTCTTTACATAAAGTTTAAAACCTTTCCATACAAAAGAAACTTAAATACAGTGGACCCCCACATAACGATTACCTCCGAATGCGACCAATTATGTAAGTGTATTTATGTAAGTGCGTTTGTACGTGTATGTTTGGGGGTCTGAAATGGACTAATCTACTTCACAATATTTCTTATGGGAACAAATTCGGTCAGTACTGGCACCTGAACATACTTCTAGAGTGAAAAAATATCGTTAACCGGGGGTCCACTGTATTGTAAAAGGTATCTGCACAGGATGGTATACATGTGTGAGAGTAAATATTTTCAATACAATACTTAAAACAAACACATTAAAAAGAAAACTTTGAAGGAGGCTTGTTCTGAACTCAACATAAACTTTACCTGTACATGATGTGTTGGTGGAATGTAAGCAGTGGGTGTAGCAGAAGTGGTAGAGCATCCAGTGGTAGTTGTCTTACGCTGAACTTGTTTGACCATTGTTGTGGTTTTGCCATCACTCGAGGTGATACAATATGTGCTTTCTCCAGAGATAGTCACAGTCTGAGGAGCGGTGGGTGTTTGGGTTGAAATGTATGTTCGGGTTGATTCTTCGACCACACTCTTCGGCTCCTCCTCACTCCTAACCAGGATATCAGTAGTTAATTCAGAATTGTCTGTCCCATTACCATCTTCTCTATCAGTATCAGCACCACCCTGACATTTCACTTTCTTTTTAACAATAATGTGTTCTTCCACTTCTGTCTCCCGACTTCCCTGTGCTTTCTTCACCTTTTTGGTTGTTTCTTCGACAGTGATAACACTGCTTGTCGTCGTTGTTGTATTTCGAGCCTTGGTAGACTTGACCGATATTTTCCGTTTAATGTCAACATTTGTAACTTCACTTTCTGCTGAAGAGCTAGTAGCTGCTGCAGCAGCTGCTGATGCCGCCACTGTTGGAGTTCTTTTACGAGATTCATTGGAGTAACTTGCAGCCATAATTGCAGAAGCATTTAAACTAGCCATGCGTTTTGTTACAACCATATCTCGCATGTCCATGTGCACGTCCAACTCTCCTCTTCGTCTCTTGCGTTTTTCTTTACTTTCTTTTCAGTTTCTTCCTCGTTTTTTCTCTTTACATTCTTTCGTCGTTTGCCACATCTATCATCATCAGTATCATAATCTCTGTCTTCTTCATCAGATTCTTCTTCAGAATTAGTATCATGAATTACCTGATCTCTAAGAACAAGAGCCATATTTTCAGTTTTGAGTGTAGGTGATGGAAGGATAGGCAAGGGAGTTCTTGCATCTTCATTTAAACAATGCATCATCGCACGAGCATTGAGACTTGCCATACGAGCTACTCGCCTAGGAGGTGTTATAGACTCTTCCCTCTTCTTACTTTTTGATAAACGTTTCTTGGTGTTCAATCTGCATTTTCCTGATTTCTTTTTTCTGGTGTTTGCTTCATATTCACTGTCACTTTCTTTGTCGCTTTCATCAGCTTCAGATGTGTCATCCTTACTCCTTGCTGCTTTTTTTCCAAAAGTTACTTTTTTTGTTTTCTTAGTCGCTGCTTTTGAGTCTATTTTGGAAGACTTCTTCATTACTCGTCCAGGTGATATTTTCTTTTGTGACTTTTTAACTGTGTCTTGATCATCTTCATCATTTTCCTCAGATGACGACTCAGATTTAAGACTGTTCTTAGGGGATGGTTTTTCTTTTGTACGTTTCTGGCTACTGCAAAACTTCTTCTCTTTAGAGACTCTCTTATTATTAACTGCATGTCCTATCCCATTTTGTTTGACATTTTCTTCATAGTCTCCGTCATCCTCGCACTCTTCTTCCTCTTCTGATTCATCATACTTTTCCTCATCACTTTTTTCAGTAGATTTGTCTTTGACTGCTTTCTTTTTTATCCTCTTGTCCTTTTTGGTCTTAAGCTTTTTGATCTGTCGTATGCGTTCTTTTGGTGTTGCCCAGTCTTCATCATCGTCACTTACTTCTTCTTCACTAGTTTCCTCAGTAATAGTACACACAATTCTCTTTGGTGACGTCCTTGACTTCTTTATCTCCTCACTATCACTACTTTCACTATCATCAGATCTTATCTTGGCAATTTTGCTGACTTTCATCTGTGTTGCCTTCTTGTCTTCAATATCGTCTTCAGATTCTGAGATTTCAGAGGTTTGCTTTCTGGCCTTTTTACTGAAAATAGATTTTTGTGCCTTTTTATGATGAATATGAGATTTTGTTGATTCCTTCTTGAGCTTATATATCTTGCCTCCAATGACAACCTTTTTGGGACAGTCCGATCTGTTTCCGCACAGTTTTCCTTTACGAATGCCCTGAAAACATTCCCTGGAATCTTCATCGGATGATACAGTGTCTGTGCTCGAGTTATCCTCCACATCTCTCAGTTCTCTTTCTCTTTTAACTTTATTGCTGAAAATTGTAGTTTTCTTTTTTCTCTTTGATGGCTTTTCTTCTTTTTCTCCCTCACTCTCAGAAAAAGAAAACACACTTCTTTCTCTCTTACTCTTGTTGTTAGGTTTTGCTAAATTAACCTTTTTCTCAGTTTTATTTTTGTCTTTTTTGGGTCTGGCAGGGGGTAACCCATCATTTTTCCTCTTGTTTTTACTGCCTTTTGGTCTTCCCCTTTTTTTAGGCACTGGGATGACATGAGACGTTGAGAAGAGAAGTTTACTCTTACCATCTTTTGGGTCACCACTTAATGCTCCATTTTCTTTTTTAAATAAAGATGTCTTCTTTTCACGATCCTCTTTAGTGTCTTTTGGACTGACTGAAGTGTTTACCTTTGTGCTCTCTGCCAAGAGCTTTCTTGCCCCGCTCTTCTTCTTTGGTTTACTCACGGAAGAACTACCATCCTCGCTAACTTCTTTGGTTTCACTCTTGAGCACCATTTTATCCAGTTTTTCTTTATGTATTTTGCTAGGTTGGTTGTCTTTCATGTTAGAGGATAGAGCTTTCTCTGCCATGGACAATGCATCACTTCCTGCATCTGCTATCTTCTTAATATCTACACACTCATTCTCACTGTCAACTTTTCCATCCCCTGTTCTTTTTTCCAGCTTTACTTCCTTGTCATTTTCCTCTTTATCATCAAAATTTTTCATGGATTTCTTTTTAAAATCTTTATCACATTCATTCTTTTTTCCATTTTCCTCACACTCTTTCTTTTTTGTATCTTTATCACACTGTTCTTTCTTTTTTGCATCTTTATCAACATCTGCTTTTTTATATCCATCTTTGTCACTCTCCTCTTTCTTTTTTACATCTTTACTGCAGTCATCCCTTTTTTTCCCTTCCTTATCACTTTCCTCTTTCCTCTTTCCGCTATTTTCACACTCTTCTTTGCCCTCCACACTTTTCTTACTTTTCTTTTTAAAATCTTTTTCACTGTCATTTTTCTCATCAGCTTTCTTCACTTTATTTCTTCCCACTTTATTAGTATCCTCTTTCTTTTCATCCACTTTCTTCCCTTTCTTTTTCATTTCTTTTTCAGTTTCTTGTTTCTCCACACACACATCTTTTACTTTCTTTCCTTTTCTCTTACCATCTTTATCACTATCCTCTTTCTCGTCACTCGATTTTGAGTTATTGTCACTTTTAGACTCGGAGTTTTGCCGAGACTTCCCAGCTACCATGGGCTTCTTCCCTTTGTCCAGAGGCAGTGATTTGCTATTCTGAGAAGTTGATTTGTTTCCTTCTGAGGAGGCATCTCTCCCTGCTCTGGGCATGTCCTGTTTATCTGATGCTAATCTGACTTTCTGGTTCCCTGAATTTTCCACGACTTTGGATGACTTTGGATTATCAATATCTGTTTTAATGGGAGACTTGGCTCCTTTACCTGCTATTTTGGCACCATCAAAGAGACGTCGGGCTGGAGATCTGCCAGGAGATCCTCGAACTGAAGACTTCTCAGTGGCTTTGCCACTTGGAGAAGTGTGTGTAGATGTCTGACCTGGTGACAGGCTGGACGATTTTGCAGAGTGACTCCGAGAAGAAACTCCAGGAGATAACTTTGGTGACGACTCACTACATGAAGTGGAGGAAGAACGTTTTGCTGTTGTTCTTCCTCCACTATTCCTTCGAGAACTTGAAATTACTGCACTCTCCTTTCTTGTAGCCTGAAAGAATAAAACAATAAATACCTGTACGGTACAGCAAAATAATGATTAATAGATATAAAAAAGTAAAATATTATGTATTATGGGCAGTGCAACAGCTTAAGGCATTTTGCAGGGCAGCACTGTCCAAATATTTACTACTTTTTATTCCTGCCTAACCATGTGTTTAATTAAGTATTCTAAGCAGGGAACTTCAGGGTACACAGGTGTCCCTCTCTTTATGCGAATTCACTTTGTGATAATTTGCTATTGGGCGATATCTTATTTTTTTTGGTAGTTCTATGAAAAAATTTATGACCACCATATAAAGTCAGCATGGTTAACAAAGTGCACTGAAGAAACTTATTACATATAATTAAGTGCTTGTGGGCTGACTGAGTTTAATACAGATAAAAACAGCTTGGGACACCTCTACATCATAAAACCAGGTCACTTTTATTACAATACTAGTTTGTGATGTTCTGTGACTGAATAAAATTATAAAAATAATTATATGGCCTGCACTATTTTTAAAGATGGATAAAACATAAATAAGGGCTCTGGTGGCTTGGTGGTTAACGCTCTCGCTTCACACGGTGAGGGCCTGGGTTCGATTCCCAGCCAGAGTAGAAACATTGGACGTGTTTCTTTCCACCTGTTGTCTATGTTCCCCATCAGTAAAATGGGTACCTGGGTGTTAGTCGACTGGTGTGGGTCGCATCCTGGGACACTGACCTAAGGAGGCCTGGTCACAGACCGGGCCGCGGGGGCGTTGACCCCCGGAACTCTCTCCAGGTAAACTCTCTCCAGGTAAGGGTACCATAAGCCTTTTTATTTATCTAAAAAATATGCTAAAAAAGTTCATGCTTTAAAATAAATGAAAATTATTACAGTGTACAATATGTGGGTATACTGCAGTTTTTTTATGTTTTGCTTTATATACTGAAAAAATTAAACTACAATATACCTGAACCAAGCCAAACCAAAGCTGATGTTTTTTTTTTTTTTACCTGAGAAAGATTGGGAATTATAAAACAATACAGAAGGGCCCTGCTTATACAGCAGGTTAGGTTCTGAACTACTACTGAAAGTAAAAATTGCTGTAAAGTGAATCATAGCCTTTTTTCACTTTCAAATACATACATATAAAAGCCTGATAACATGTTTACACTATCATATATTAAGTGAGCAATATAGCTAGGCCTAAAAAAACATGCATATACAGTACACACATTACTTACTTTAAAATATTTTCATCCTTAGCAGTAAGTGATGAATATATTTATTGTAGGAAGTCTGAATAAATATGGAATGGATATAATTGAAAACTACTGTATATTATTAGCAAAATGCTGTAAAGCGGGGCCTGCGTGTTCTATAAAATCTCCATACCATTAACCCTTACAGTGTCGGTCCCGTAGTATTACAGCTTGAGAGCCAGTGTCGGTCCCATAATACTACGCCAAAATTCTAGCACCTTCAAATCTAGTGGGAGAAAGCTGGTAGGCCTACATGTGAGAGAATGGGTCTGCGTGGTCAGTGTGCAAAGTTTTAAAAAGATCATGGACCCAGTGGTGCGTTGTGGGAACACCATTGCAATACGGCTTGTTTCCCATGCCTCGTGATAAGAAATTCCTCGCTCCCCGGCGAATTGGGACAGTTCTAACACAGAAGTGTCAGTGAAGATGAATTTAATGGTTTGGGCAAGTTTGTGACTGAAAGCAATGCCCAGGAAACCAGAAGGAAGGAAGGAAGGAAGAAAGAAAGAAAGGAAGGAAGGAAGAAAGAAAGGAAGGAAGAACAGAAGCAAGAAAGGAAAAAAGGAACGAAGGAAGAGATGAGAGGAAGGAAGGAAGAAGTAGGGAAGGAAGGAAGTAAAAAAGGAAAGGAAGGAAAAAAGGGAAAGGAAGGAAAAAAGGAAGGAAGGAAGAAGAAAGGGAAAGGGAAGAAGAAAGGGGGGGGAAGAAGTAAGGAAGGAAAATGGAAGGTGGGAAGGAAAAAAAAGACAAACCCAAAAAAGCCCAAAGTGACTTATTTCCATGTGGGTTGGGGGGGAAGCAGTAGGGGTAATGGGAA